GTGTGCGCACCCACCGCGCCGCACTCAGAGAGCGCAGATGGGGAGGAGTGGTGGGGGGGGGGGTGGGGCAATATTTTTAAAAGGTGGCGAAGTTTGAAAAACACTGCTATAGACCTATTCAAACCCATAATAACCACTTGTTTCAAGACCCAAGTCATGATTTATCTGAAAGCATGAAAGCAAAGCAAAAAAATGACTTTTTAGGGGGGCAAAGGGGTAGTCCATGGTGGTGGGATTTTTCCTCCCTGTTGGATTCGCTTTTGCTTTATCTCCCAGCTCCTAGGCTCAAGGAGACACTGCAGTGATTACTGGTGCAGCCAGTCCAAGCTAAGGAATAAAATAATCCTAACAACAAATCCAGTCTGAATCCTCTTCATAAATTCCACAATCACTGTTTTTTTAAAAATGCCCAACTTCGTGTCCATATTTTCCTTTTGCTTCCAAGGATCTTCACTTAGGTCCTACACTGCTAGCTATAACCACAGCGAGAATGAAAAGTGCCTGGTTTTGAAACAACCCCTGTGGCATCCTTCATGGCTTCAGAAGTTTATAGGCTGCATGCTGTCTAACCTTTCCTTTCAATCAGCAGCTGTGGAAACTGACTGGTTCATGGTGTTCCCTGCCCATTTTCAACATTTTGAGACCAGTAGCCATCAAAGATTGGCCTCAAACCAGTTTGGGAGGGATTGTGGGGTGGAGGGGTGGAAATAGAGTAAAAACTGCACCATACGAGAGTACCTATAGTGAGGGAGGGAGGAATGATTATCAATTATCCAGCAATATGCCTATTTTGGTATTTTGTTTGCAATTTTCAACTCATATCTAAGAATTTCAAGAGCATGCAGACTTACACAGTCCTTTCCTCCATCCCTACCCCATTTCCTTTTCCTGCCCTTTCCCTCCCTTTACTTCCCTGTTTACTATTAACTAGTAATGTTACTAGTTAGTACTATGTACTATTACATTCTGGTTAAATACTAAATACTACCAACTAGCTTTCATCTTAGTTACTATAAATTAGTTTTAGCATTGGTAGGAATTTAATCAGATTCATGTTTGCAACTAAAAATGAAGGAATGTATAAGCCTGCAATATTCTCCACCTTCCTAACCTTAGTTTAAACATGATGCCCTGGCCTGAATAACAGGCTAAACCATAATGAGTTATTGGTTTTGGCTTACACTATGATAAACTAGCTATTACAACTTTAAATATGGTTTATAGCTTACAAACCTGGAAGAATCCATCCAGTTGTGGTTTATTTAGTAAACTATGGGGCTAAATAATCCAGTATGTGAACCCTGCCTATTAATTTTGGGGCAGGATAAATAGGAAATAGGGTAGCAAAGAACAGATGAGCAAAGCTGGTGCAATAAATGCTTTATTACATTTTTTTGTGTGTGTGTGGAAGGAATGAAAGAGGGCTCATGCGAAGAGAGTAGAAGAGAAATTTCATTAGCTAAATCCTAAGTTACTTTGTGCTTGTTTCTGTTGCTATTTTCCTGAATTTGATGGAATTAGATGTTAAATGCTAGAGTTCTACAGTTGTTCCTGTTCTCCAACAGGTCTTGTTTAGGCAAGAAGGACACAGCAACAGCCAAGTCATTGAAACACAGAAAACATCTGCAGTCGTGCTTCTCCCTGATGTGGGTGTCTATATCATAGAGGTCTGCGCAGTCAGCGAAGGGGGAGATGGCACACCAAGCAACCAAATCAGGATATCATCTTTTTCAGGTAAGGCACCAAGACAATTAGACTCCCAGTGACCACATTCTAAAGCTGCTATCATGCTTATACTTATGGAGTGCAGGGCTATAAAACTGAATTCTGTGTGCATTTCTACTAATGGCCAACCAGAGTTGATATAGTGTTAATGCAATATGTTTAGATGTTCATGTTCTAGGTATCTCCAGTTTCAAGCTCTATGTCATAGGCTTTTCATATATCGTGGGCTATAGCTTCCATCACACCTTGATACTGGCCATGCTGGGGTGAAGGCCAGCAGAATAGAACTTTTTCATAGGGCTGTGTAGTGTAATTATTGTTACAGTTGTCACTACAATCATAGGACCGGTGCCTATGGTTATTGTGTTATTATATTTCTGTTTTGTTGGTTATTGTTTTATTTAATTGTTTCATCTTTGTAATGTTACTGTATTTTGTATTAACTGCTTGTAAGCCACCATGAATCGGTCTGACTCAGGGACATATGAATATAATAAATAAATAAATAAATAAATAAATAAATAAATAAATAAATAAATAAATAAATTAAACAGTACCATTTCCAAAATGTTATAGTGATTGGGTTTTTTTTCTTCTTCTTCTATGGTTTTGATCACACCAGGTGGAAAAGTCACAAGTTCTCAATCCAGTCTACATGCTTTCACCACTTCCTCATCAACTGTAACATTTCTATTGGTATTGATGGTCCCTTCAACCTCATGGTGAAGGAAGAAGACTGAAGACTTTTCTCATTTCTCTGTTTGGTTGCTTTAGCCTGATAACACCAATGAATGGTATTCTGCGTCCAGGGAGAAAGCGGAAGGCTAATTATCGAAGGCATGTTTTGGAAATGCATATAGTGCACCAGGAAAAATATTGCAGGCAGGAAATAACATGAAAATAATCCACCAGGTGTCTCCTCTTTGGTTTCCATAAATGTCCTCTTGGGGGGGGAGGGAATTTTTTTGCCCAATAGAAAATATGCAGATTCTTTTATATAAACTTTTGTAAACCAACGGGAATTATGTCAAATTTTATTTACCTTTCTAATTGTTTATATATTAGCTAACATCAGTCTTATACCCTTAATAAATCAAATGACTGGTACAGTGCATCCATTTTGTTTGCACTCTTAAGGATTTTAACAATTTTAAGAAAAAAATGACAACCATTTGGATTCTAGTGAGTTACCCCTCCTCTTTTTCAGAAGGCTGGCTACTGTTTTTGTTTTATTTTTTTCTTATCAAGAGAAAAATGCCATTATGTGACCCCGTTTCAAAAATTACTGTAGCAAATGTTGCCTTTAAGAAAAGAAGAGCATCGTATAATTAGTGGAGTATGGTAATTTTTCTTCTGTTTTCTGCTCTGTTTGTATTCTCCGTGCACATAACAAGCCACTTTTTCAGATCCAAGTAAATCTGAAGCATTTTGAACTGAGCATAAAACTGAGGCCTCTCATTTTGTACTAGATATTGCCCACTACAATAAGGAAGAAAAAATGCTTATTTTTAATAGCATAACTGTACATGATTGGGAGTGCAGACGATACCGAAATCATTGTTGGACACTTAATCTGAGTCTTCAGCAATTGCTAACTGCAAGTATGAAATTAATGCAGAGAGACAAAGCTGTTTCCCCCAGACAGCTTTCTGTCTTTAGACCTTTATTTTTGTAGTTCATTTTTGTATGGTACTGTACTGTCTATATTTGGTGATTTAGCAAAATGATATCAATAAGCATTTCAAGATAGAAACAATATGGTGTTGCCTAGATTGTCCATAATATGAACCAAGGACATTTTTTTAATGTCCAAAATGAAAAGGATATGGTTGGGCAAATGCTTTTAACGTTCTCAAACTAAAGGTCCAAAGCATTTAGCCTTTCCATATCCAGGGTCTGGCTTCAAAACAGCCTGCAGTGTTGGATTCACCATCATCATCATCATCATCATCATCATCATCATCATCATCATCATCATCATCAATAGTAGTTATTATTCTTTATCATCATCATCAGTACATGTATGTGTGAGTATTATTTTCTCATCAATTTGTTTATTTGTCTAGGGATAAGCAACTATTTCTGTACCGAGGCGTTCTATCACAGAACTGGGCTGAAAAGTAGGGTGGTCTCAGGAGAAAATGGGTAGTGCCAGAGAAGAAATATTTTTATCAAATTAATATTTGATAAATTTTGAATAAATGAATGCAGATATAATATACACTTTCCTGCTCATACTTATCATGAGATCTAGAGATAGCTTCATTGTGCTTTTTTTTTTCCAGAACATGTGTGGTAATAAAACCTTATATTACATTCAAGAGAAATTGTCTTTTTCTCAACCCTGAGCTCTTTTTCATAGTGGTCTTTCCGTACCCTGTTTCCTATCCTCTTCAACCATCAGAAGTCCTAATCTGCAAAACTGTTAGGACAATGTGCAAGCAGCTTGCCACTGACATGTATTGCCAAAACGCAAATGTGGGGGGTTCTCTGGGGTCCACATCAAGCCTCAGAGGTGGCACTTACAGCCAACAGGTTGTAAGATCTTCCTCCATTTCTATCCACTTGGTGGCTACCAAGTATTGATATGACTAAGGCTACATAGGAGATAGAGACCAGCTTAATGTACAGCATGTGAATCTGAAGACCTTTAACTATCCAGTCCACATAGATGCACACTTCATATTTAAAACAATTAGTTCCCTATATTATTCTTGCATTTAGTGATAACCTACATTTTTTTCCCATTCAAATGCAGAATGAAATGTAGAGCTACCTTATTTTGATTGTAAAAATCCATGTGAGCACTAGATGACAACAATGGATTAGAGTCATCTTTATGTCTTTGATGCCATTTAGTATTTGTCTGGTTCTGTATTTTTCCCCCCCAAAATCAAATAGACCATCCTGACTTAGGGCAACGAGATGTTCCCGAATGAGGGGAATGCAATCAAAAATACCATCCTCTGGCCCCCAATCATTTGTTCCCAATTTAATTCTTTCCAATTTGTTCCCATTTGCTCCCAATTTAATTCTTCTATTGGTACTAATTTAATTTATATATTTTCCATTTAGTGATACCCTACATTTTTTGGTTGAAATGAAGAGTGATGATTATATATCTGTATACCTGGGCTGCACATATTCAGTTAACCATTAGATGATAAAGAAAAATTCTGCCTCTTTGTTGCTATTTATGGATTTTTGCAGTCCATATAGGGTAGCCCTAATGAAAGGAACAGTCATAGTTCCAAATGCCTTTCATGCCTCTCAACTGTGGTTTATATATAATACCTTATCACAACTGCAGTGTAATGTAGTGAGGAATGTAATATTATCAGCATAATACTTTATAATATTACACAGTATAATCTTAGTTGGAAGACCTGAAAGACCTGGGTAGGGACAGATCATGGGGGAAAAATGTGGTTCTAGGATTCGATCTGATGGCACATCAATCAACCAATCAATCATCTTAGGCATATCTCACGTTAATAAGTTCATTGCATATGCAATTGCAATGTAACTGGTAGGAAAACATTCCCATGTGGAACACCATCTAGACTGAAGAAACCAGTAAGCATGAAATTGGCTGATGCTGATCAGTTTAAAGTGGGAGAAAGTAGTTAAAAATGTGCACATCAGCAACTGAAAGTTTAGATGGAAGGCCTAACCAACTAATATCTCAAAAGCAAATGGAATAGTATATGTCTTCTGTAGTCCAGTGATACTGTAAAATGATATTCTGTTATCCAGTAATAGGCTATGCATATCATTGAGTGATGGAATATCAAGAAAATATTCTGAATACTTCTGGACCACTGTGACCCCAATCATTAGCTTGAGCAATGAACATACTAGAAGCAGGCTAAGTTTTTTTTTTCCCCCAACCCTTCCCTTCAAAAGTTTAGTTTAAAAAAAAGCTAATGAAAAATAAAAATAAAAGGCAAATTAAATTGAATGAAATGGAAATAGACTTTGTACAGTGTTATTGTGGTGTTAAATTAGTAAGAGAAAAGGTCTTATACTTTAAAACAGAAATATTTTCCCAGTGCCGGCTCAGGAAAATGCCATTCATAGGCACACAGTGATTTGGCTTTGCATAACCAGTAATTCGTATTGGCAACGCATTCTACTCTTAGTGGAACTTGCTTTTGAAATGTGGTTTTAAAAAAATCTGAAAGGATAAACTAAGACCAAACATCAAGATATATCAGAAGTTTACCACTCCTCCAATGCAAATCAGAGCCTCTCAAACCTGTTAAGTGGGATATGGTGGCTGACAAATCCAGATATTACTAGGCTATGCTAGACCCCTGATGACATCATTAGAAAATCCTAGATCTTATTGCATCCTGTACCCTTCCCAACATCAATCCAGCCTATGGTGGTCACTTAAATATAACCCATAGAAGAGAATATCTGTAGCTCAGGGTTGAACTGTGGAATTCTTGGTGCTCTCTGAGCTTGGTTGTTTGCTTGCAGACGTTTCATTACTCAACGAGGTAACATCATCAGTGCCTTACTTAAAGATAACCATCAAACAGGGCTATGTTGGCAATTTACACATGACTAAAATCTATGTATCATAACATGTATATAGAGATGCCCATAGAGTAATAATTTCTATTATTTGATTAGAAATTACAAAATATATCGCCATAGTGTGGAAGCCTGTGACCAGTTAATCTATACACCTCCTCACCTTTGCTGCTAATTATTGGTGGACTTTATGGCTACTGCTTTCTATTCTTACTATTTAGCAGTAAAGCTCACTTGGATTAGATAGCTTTTAATTAGAGGTTGCTCTTAGAAACTGTCCTGTGACAGTCTCTCAAAGAGATTATTGTCCTTTGTAAAATAGGGTGCATAGTCATTGCCAGCAGTATAAAGCAGCAAATGGAAGAGCTATCAATATTAAGACATAATACATTATTCCTCTTTAGCTCAATAGATTTCATTACTATCATCATGAGGACTTTATCATATTATCAATCAATTGAATTGCTTCATCATCTGTCTATGGGTTTGTGGGGGAGGGGGTTCAGATAATATTGAAAAAATGGAACTTGCCAGTAGTGCAGTTAATTAATTTTAGACAAAGAATTTAACATTCCAGGAGGAGGGGTTCTTTAGATGGAAAGTTGTCGAATCCAGATGCAAACTGGACCTGTTGAAATCAATGGTCTTTAAGTTAAACGTGAATAACTTAAATCCCATTGATTTCCAGTCTTTGACTCTAGGTATTAATAGGTCTAAATATAATCAAGTTGTGCTACCTGACATATATTAAATGTGATCATTCACCCCCGTTGCATTTCAGCAGACATCACTTTTTCTGCTTCTTATAGTCTTAGACCTCTGCCCCAAAATCATCTCCTGACAATACCACACTAGAATTTCCCCAACACTATCAGCCACTCATTACAATCAGCCCTATGTTTTCTGTTTTTATTTTTCAGGATAATGGTGAATGGCATATTTAAAAACCTCTTTGAAGAGAACTAGAATTCCTTATAGGCATGTTTTGGCATTTCACCACCAGCAATGGGAACTCACATACTTGCCTCACCCATGTTCATGACCAATAATATTTTGGATTTCTGTCACCAGTAAGATCTACTGTAGCAGACTGTACCACAAGCAGAGCAGCAGTTGACTTGATATTAATCAACACTGTACATCTGAATAACCATGATTTACTTAACTGCCCTGAACTTAACCTCACATAGTGACACTACAAAGATAGATGGGTATATCATAAGCCTGGACAGAAGGTTAGATTTTGTATCTACAGCCTATTAACAAGCAAGTTTATTTTTTATTATCCCCATATTACCATATTTATTACTTTATAAAAGACAACATCTCCCATCTCATGCCCCTAATTTGTTGTCAATGTTGTCATTGTGGGTTTGTTTGCTGCAAACATGAATTTATTCATTTGTTACAGTTTCTTTGGATTACCTTGTAACAGAACAGTCCAACATAACTGGAAAGACTGTATTTTTGTATACTATCATAATAATTGAATGTGATTGGAAGGAAAAAAAAAACAATCTTGGCTTAGAAACCAAAAACAAGAAACCAACTCAAAATGTTAGAAAACTTGTATACAACTTGTATATATTTACTATATATAATGGTATATACTATGTGAAAGACACAGTAAAATACTGGTTCCTGTGTACTGTTCTTGTAACATTAGATCTTTTTAATAAATTATTCTCTTTTTATTGACTTTTATCTTATGTCCTGTCAGATGCTAAATGATGTGGTTTCATTTCTCCATGTTCAGAACAGAGGGAAATGGAGATCAGTCTTGAGGGAAAAGTCTAAGAAGGTAATTATTCAAATGTGGACATAAACCTCTGCTACATGTGAGTTCTGTATCTGTTTAGGGTGGCAATTGATCCATACCTAAGATATTTAGCAACATTTCCTGAAAATATTGACAGATATTTTCCATATGAACTTGGCCCCAGAGATACCTGAACCATTATTTTCAAAAAGGATGGATTGTAAATTGCTTCAAGCTTTCAAAGAAGGCACCATTTCCATTTTAAATTATAAAAAGAAGAAAAATAGCCACTTCAGCAAACTCTAAATGTTTAGATACCGGGAGTGGGGTTGAATATGCATGCAACTCCCAACTCTTCCCTCACCCCCCAAAGAAAAGCAAGTAAATGTATCATTTCTATCTCTTTTTTAAACAACATGGGATGAAGGGATGATAGTTCAGACCTATGCAAGTTTGAAGACAGAGAACTGAACTCAACAAATATGTCAGAAATGGTCAAGAAAACCATGGTCCTCCTACTCCTCCAAGTACTTGCAAGACACATGCCATGTGATCCCAGGAAAAGATTCATCTGCAGACTAGTGCTGCATGAGGGCCCCATGTCCTCCAAAGTACATTTTGCCACTGAATAGGAAGTACTGCAGAGCCAGTTTAGTGCAGTGGTTAAGGCCCTGGGCTAGAGAGCAGGAGTCTGTGAGTTCTACTCCCTCCTTAGACACAAAGCCAGCTGGATGACCCTGAGCAAGTCACTCTCTCCCAGCCCTAGGAAGCAGGCAATGGCAAATCACCTCCAAAAAACCTTGCAGGTAAACTGCAGGGTCTAGTTCAGGCAGTCTCAAGGAGTCAAAAACTGACTCAAACACATGCGTGTGTGTGTGCGTGTGCACACACACATACACACACACACACACACAAAGTACAGTAATACCTCGGTTCACGAACGCTTCTGTTCACGAACAATTCAGTTCACGAACAGCACCATTCGCAAAATTTTGCTTCCGTTTGCAAACTCCGCATCGGGTGACGAACACAACCTGTGGCCATCTTCCCTGCTCTGACACATGGTCGTGGCTTCCTGTAGGCAAGGGGGACTCTCCCTCCAAACAATAACCACCTCCCCACCCACCTTCCTGTCCTCCACGCCAGAAGTTACCCCAAGCAAGGTTAGTGTTCTCTCTCTTCATACTGTACTATACTGTACTTTGTTTCATATTTT